GATCGATGGCTCAGATAGGCAGATGTGTGTGTGTGTTTACACTCGGGCATCCAGTCTTTACGGGCCGACGGATATACGAGCTCAGATGACTACACTTGTTAAAGAAAATGAGAGGGAGGCTGAAAGGTGGCTGCCGACTCACCTCCGGTTCTCTCATCTCACCGTGAGCCCATTCCTGGCTGGGCATTGTTGTAGCACCGTTGTTATTTTTGTAATTATATATGATTATTCCGGCAGAGGCAGAAAGATAGTTTCCAGTCATGATATGGGGGCTGTGTGAAGGGCCTGTTGCAACCCGTGGGGTGGAGAGACGCCAGCCCGAGAGATGAGGGTTTGATCTGCCTGAGTGAGCGTGCAAGGTGTGCGCACTGAACATGTCGATGCTTTAGCTGCTAAAGGTAATATTACAGATATAAAGCTGAATGATTGGGAGAAAAAGCAAAGAGCACATGCATTCCTTTAAGGAAGTGCCTTTAATTTTTTACCAGTTTCAGGCACTTTGTCACTTTTATGTGTGGGGCAGTAATAAATGTAACAACAGCTGAAATAAAGTGTTGGTTTGTGATTGAAACAAAGAGAGCCGAAGGTGACCCGGAGCCACCAGACACCCACTGGTTCATCCTCGCCCTCTGCTTCTTCCTGACCTTTGACCTCGGGGTGAGAAGGGGGCGTGAGCCAGGAGCTGGAAGAGTTTATTATTTCCTGCCACTTTTCTCCTCCTCCTCCTCCTCCTCCTCCGCTGACAGCACGATCAAGAGAGTGAGGCTGAATTTGGCGACGGGCGTAACAGCAAGGTTTTTTTTTTATTGCGAACATATGGAGTGACCTCAAGAAGCCTGCAGTTTGACATTTGAAGTCGTTAGCATTATAATTAAACTGCTGGACTCGCTTCTCCTGACGTCTACAAGAACTTCCTCTTTGGAACATGGTTTGAGAAGTACTGACCAAAAATAACCACCACTCAAAACTCAACAATAAATGTTTCAGAATGATTTTCACTTGGCAACAAAGCCGCTGCCGTTTGTTGAACGGTTACAAAAAGTGGTGGATGATTGGATGATTTGAACAGTAGATCTGTTTATTCTTTTTTTTCTGTCTTATTTATGGTGATTTTGTGGACGCAACCGGTTGAGGAGGGAAACCCAATCTGGGTGACTCTTTCTTCACCACTATGGACTGTAGCAATGCCCTCATTACTGTAAACGAGGCCAAAATTGTGCAAACCTTAGACGAGGAACGCTTTCATATGTGGGCCAGAACTATCCAGATGAAAGGACTCGTGGGTCACAAAAATGTGACTTTAACTCAACGCGAACAATATTTTTGGAGAAAGAACAAGTTTACTAATTTTATTGGAGAAAGAGTTTTAAATTGTTGTAGATCCAAAACATTAAAAGCCTCATAAACACTAAGCTTATGTTTTTTTAATTAAAAATTATTTAATTTATTTGATTTTTTGGGTCTATATTTGTTTTTTCTTGTGTTTGGAAAGTTCATTTTAGTTTGTTCTTAGCAACAAAAGCATAATATGAGTTAGTGTCCTTTTGAAAGGGGGTCAGTCAGCCTTTAGGACCATGGACGGTCCAAAAGGCTGATCGAAGTTCAGAAAAATCTTCCAGCTGTCAGTCACTAAAACAGATTCGTTGAAGGTTTGATCAAGTCGATCAACTCGTATGTAGATGATACCACGTTATATTAGTTTAAAATATCCAGTTTCCCTCTTGATTATTTTATCAGCTGCCGTATTTAACCAAGTTTTATGAATCATTATCCAAAAGTTTCTTTTCTGGTAGAAATCAGTAAAGGTTTTTGGTGTTTTGTACCATGAAGTGAAAGTACAAAGATTATAGCCAAATGTTTGTATTTTGTTTAATATTGCTTATTTTGAGAAGATTGTTTTTGTTATCCATTTTACTGTTAAATCTAAACATTATATAAAAAAGGATTACCAACTAATTTGCAGAAAGTCTGCATCAACCTCTTAAGCCTGCTGGTCAAAATGGTACCATTCTTAAACTGCAGTTGTGGGCCGCACAAAATCACTTCAAGGACCGCAAATGGCCCTCGGGCCACACTTTGGACACCCATGACAGACACACCAAAAAGTTCAGATGTCCATCAGAGGTTTATTCAGCTCAGCTGGCAGAGAGAATGCTAATGTTCGGAGAAAAGCAGTCAAAACTAGTGCTCGTTTGTTTCTTAGATGTTAAGAAGAAAATTTTCAGGAGTTCTTGTGTTGGTGGTCAAAAACATCGACAAACATGGCAACATATCTTTGGTCAATTACAAGTTTTGAAAAAGTCGTGATCAGAATGAAGACGTTTTGCTCAAAATAGCTTCTGGCCACATGAATGTGCCATAGTGAACAACAGCTCAGCCACAACATCCAAATATTGATTCAGAGACACCAACGAACCATAAATCAACTAGAAATATTCTCCACTTCGGCGAAGACGGGCAAAAAGAAACAGAAACAGAAAGTTAGATCAAAGTCCATGCTCAATAATCCAGGTAAAAATATCCAACAAAGTTCAGTCAGGTCCTCTGGATGGTTTCGTTTTTTGTTAAAACGTTTTGTCCTTCATCCAAAGGACTTCGTCAATCCAAGGATCCACGACAAACTCAGCCCCACAAGCAGCACTCACATAGTGGGTCAACCAGTTTGATGGTGATAAGATGCTTTCTGGAGTCCTCCCTCTCCCCTGTCGACTCCTCTGAGGCAGCCATGGCATGAGTGGTTAGTAACCAGGCAGCCATGATGTGTCGTGGCTCCTTGGGCTGTTGAAGTTCTTTGGATGAAGGACGAAACGTTTCCACAAAAAAAAAAAAAAAAGAAACCGTCCAGATGACCTGACTGAACTTTGCTGGAAAGAACGTTAGACTTTACAATATTTTCTAACTTTTCTTTTTGACTTTTCAATGTATTTTCTTCCAGTAGTAGTCAAGAAGTACAGAACTGGACTTGGTTCTTGAAAACATTTCACCTCTCAACCAGCAGACTTCCTCAGAACTGAAGAAGCATAAAGACACAACAGCAGATGTCCAGTGGTCTTCTACTGAACCACTTACAATGACCTCTGACCTCGTCTTTTTGAGGCATTTCATCTATTAACTTCCACCTTGCATTCATTTGTTCCACTACTTTAAACCCCAAATCTAAAAGTTTTGTAGTAGTCTGAATAATTGCTAGAATATATTTAGGTTTGAGTAATGGTCTTTTTAATGGATGCGTCTGAAGACAGTGCCTGAGTGATGCCAAAGGCTATTCATTCATTCAACCTTTATTTATACAGGTTAATCCCGTGGAGCCTCGCGGACTCATGTACAAGAGAGACCTGATTTTAACGAAGAGTAATGACAGCAGTGAGTAACAGCGACAGCAATAAACAATCATAAACGAGGCATACAGATGTTTTTTTACAAATTAAAATAAGATGGCAAAAAAAAGTAGCGAAAAACACATTTAGATTATAAGGCGATGTAGAAAACTAAGTAAGACGATGTCAAGATGACTCTGGATTACGGGTGCACGGATAAATCGGCTGGACAATTTATCGGCTAATTTATCGGCCCCGATTTATCGGCCCAGGTTTATCGGCCCCGATTTATCGGCCCCGATTTATCGGCTAATTTATCGGCCCCGATTTATTGGCCCTGATTTCCTTAATTTTGGGAGACCGGAGATCGGCCGATACTTACACAATAAACCAATTTTACCGATTTTTTTTTTTGTAGTTTTAGCAACAATTGTCTGAACGTCATTTATGTTTCAGAGCACTACGTCATGGCCAGTTAGAACAAGTTTGTCTTGTTTCTAGGATATTACATTATGACCTTATAACACCTGACAGTGTTGCTTAGAAAACAAAATCTGTATCGACCAAAATTGGAATCAGCAGGTCGGTGATCGGCCAGAAAGCTGCAGCCAGTGCACCCCTACTCTGGATATAACTCTTTAGAGCCAGAATGTCTGTTAAAACCTATAAACTTACTTGTTTGTAAAGACGGAGCCTTTTGTTTGTGTGTAGACAATGTTGGTCATACCCTGAAGAAGACCAGTCGTTTGGACTTTAACACAGACGGACCTTTGCTGGCAACGTAAATGCATTTATTTGTACATTTCTAGAGGTGTACAACTGGGCGGGCAAGGACGTTAACAGACCACCTAACAACAAGAACTTCTCGTTTACTGAAAAAGACCGTTCGGTGGGAGTAGGTGCCTCCTCGAGAGGGGAGGCTAACCAAACTGACCCGCCTGATTGTGAAGCATCTGAAACACTTTTCTGAGTTAAAGAATGAAGGTTAGAAACTTGCGCACCTTCTGCGATCCCACCCAGGCGTCGTGCTTTTCATTTGACCCCGTCCTTCAGCCTCCGTTGGCCCTTCCAAACTAAAGTGTTGGAGCCACCGAAGCACCGATGTGAATATCACAGCTGGACGGCCATTGTCTCTCCGGGCCTGGGCTCCGGGCCTGGTTACCAACCAGGAACCTGGGATCAAAGCCTGCCTTGGATTACTCTCAGAAAAAAAAAAGGAGGAGGAGGTGCTGCTTTTGGAGGGGGGCTCGAGTGTAAAAGAAGTGAGGAATGCTCCTAATTATGTGCCCTCCACTCCTTTTCTGTCTCGGCCGTTGGCTCTTGTCTCGTCTCCTCGTGTATCTGGCCTTCTTCAGGCTACAGTGAACCCATGAGGAGGCGGCGCAGTGTGACAGGAGAGTGACATGAGGAGTGAGGCGACGGCGTCTCCGCTGGCACTCCATTAGCAGGAGATCTCAGAGGGTCGGAGGTGGAGAGGCTGGACGTTCCCGCTTCAGACGGGATGGAGGAGGTGGAGATCAAGGAGCGTGTAAAGAGGATTAGGGCTCTTGTTGCTGGATTTTATCGGAGGCGTTTTCCTGCTGAGGTCCATCTCTGCGTGTTTACTCCTCTCTGCTCACGCTGATGTTTTCCTCCTCCCGTTTCAGGTTTTCTGAACAGACGAGAGCGTTCGCGCCGGGCAACACGGCCGCTGGCAGGGCTCAGAGGGCGCCATGGCCGGTGGCCTGAGGGTCCTCCTGTCCACTGTGCTGTGTCTCAGCCAGTCCCTGCTCATCAGCTGCTCATGTAAGTTCTGTTTTCTGCTCGGGCGTCGCTCCATCACACTCAGCAGCATTTCCTATAAATACCTCATGCGAAACGTGGACGATGACGGTTGTGACAGTTTGTTGTCAGATTGTAATGAATCAGAAAGTAACCACTGAGTGTACGTCCACAACTGAATTTAAGCTCAATATCTATAAAATTGACTGGTCTTTACTAGGGGTGTAATGGTGTGCGAAAATCACATTTCGGTTCGGTTCAGTTTCATGGAGGGCTCGATTCGGTTAATTTTCTGTATTAAAAAGGCCAAACTAAAGACGTACAAAATGTTTATTTGAAAATATGCCAAGTAAACAAGTTCAGTCATTACAGACTTGTTAGCTGGAGGTGAGCTGGTGGATAAAGAACACTCAGCTGCTGTCATCCTCAGACTGCAAACAACACAGATATATAAAAAAAATGGAGTTAATAAGATTATAATTTTAAATGAAAAAAGTTAATTAGATAATATAATACAGTACCTTTTCTTGCACGGTCATCATATGAGGTGGTTGAATATTCTCTCTCGCTCCTCATCTATGTGGCAGGACTTTAATCTGGTCCAGGGCTTGTTGACAATATCAGTTTTAGCTTTTTCATAAAGTGCTGCTAGAACGTTTCGGCTGAAGTGTTGACGTGATGGGATGTTGTAGCGGGGCTCAATAACTTTAAAGCCGGCGCATCAACAACATTCGGACGTAGATCCAGAGCTTTAACAACTCCTACAGCTTGTGTTATTGCTCTGGACCGATCTGAATTACCAGATAAAGGTTGTTTGAACGCTGCTGTTATCGGTCTTTGCAACAAGCTGCTTTTCTTGCTTGTAGAGGAGACGTTCACGTTCAGACGATGTTGTTTCAAGCGCGTTAACAAGTTAGACGTGTTGCCTGCTGCAGATCCAATCTCCGTGAAACAACGTCGACACACAGCTTTGGATTTGTTCACTTGTCTTTTAACAAGAAAGCCATATTGTTCCCCAACAGGAGACCTGCTAGCGACATGTTAGGCCACTAATGCTACGCGTGCTTCAAGATAATAGCGCCGTGCTGAAACACGCTTAGGAACGTTAGTTCCACGGCGCATAATCTCTCGTTAATAAAATTTAATGAGTGAAAAAATAACCGAAATGGTTCAATACGCCCACGTGTACCATTACACCACTAGTATTTGCCCATTTGTGATGGGTGGGGCGGCTGTGGCTGAGTGGTTAGAGCAGTCGTCCTCCAATGTGAGGGTTGGGGGTTTGAGTCCACCAGCAGTCACATGCTGAAGTGTCCCTGGGCAAGACACTGAACCCCTCGTTGCCTCTGATGTGTGTCCCATCAGTGTATGAATGTGATAAAGCTCTGATTATTCTTTTTAGAGTGCTGTGTGGATGGGTAGATGAGGCACAGATTGTTGTAAAGAGCTTTGAGTATCTTGAAATAAGATAGAAAGGTGATATATAAGTACAGTCCATTTACTTATATAGCACCTTTCTATCTTATCAAGACACTCAAAGCTCTTTACAACAATCTGTGCCTCATTTACTCATCCACACAGCACTCTACAAAGAATAATCAGAGCTTTATCACATTCATACACTGATGGGACACACATCAGAGGCAACGAGGGGTTCAGTGTGTTGCCTAGGGACACTTCAGCATGTGACTGCTGGTGGATTCGAACCCCCAACTCTTGAGTTGGAGGATGACTGTTCTAACCACTCAGCCACAGCCGCCCGTGCTTTAGGGCCATTTTCAAATGGGTTGACTTCAAAATCAGTTGTAGATTTAAGTTCATTGTTTACTTTCTTAGAGTTTCATTAAGATACATCCACTGGTTCGTGAGATATTTTGCTAACAGACACACAAACAAATGAACACACAGAGAGCCTGCCATCAGGCAGCAACAAAACCACAAAATAAAATATAACCTCTGTCACTTAAATTTGATGTTCACATGTTGTTGTGTAGAAAAGGTGAGTTATGGAGCCGTCATTGTTTTGTTGTGTTAGTGTAATAGTATTTGTTATAATTCAGTCCGATCACTTCGTACGACTCATATTTCTGTTTGTTTCCTCAGTTCAGCGTCCCTCCTTCCTCTCTGAGCCCAGCTCGGTGGTTCAGAGTCCCGGCTCCGTGGTCCGTCTGGTGTGCTCTGTAAGTCCTCCGTCTGCGGTCGTCTCCTGGCGCTTCCGAGGCCTCCTCCTGGACCGGGACACCCTGCCTGGCGTGGAGCTCGATCGGGACTCCCTCACGATCTCCAACCTCACGTCCAGCCACGCCGGGGTCTATCAGTGTGTGGCACGCTTCAGCCACGGGCCGGCCGTCGCCAGCCGCCTCGCCCGTGTGGCTCTAGCAGGTACGGATGCAGAGAATGACCTCCTCTGTGCGCTTGTGCTCACTTCAAAGAGCTGAAGGAAAAAGAGGAAGCGTCCTTGGGAAAAGGAAGGCCATTTTGTGAGTGTTGACTCGTCAGAAGGAACGCCTGCTGCTGAGCGGCTCAGAGGAAGGAAGCAGTAGGAGTTTGTACTTGGGGCAGACTTCCAGATCCCTCTTGACCGGTGTCCTTAATGAGTCTGGGGCTTTCCTGTGTGGAAGCGTGTTATGTTCCTGCTGGGATGCCGCGCTCTCCTCTCCTCCACGTTCAGCGCTCGGCCCTGACGTGGAGCGGTATCAGACCCAGACTGAAACAATAAACAAACCCAGCGATCCAACGCAAACAGCTTCGCTCTCCGCTGCGCTGATGCTCCGGCCACATTAAAGCTCCTAAACCAGCCTAATCGAGGAAATCTTCCCTTTTTCCCCCTCTCCCCTGTTTGTTCAGAAATATCAGGATATGAAGATGTCCGGCGGCGGACGTTATCGGTGCAGGAAGGCAGCGCGGTCCTTATAGAGTGTCCTCTGCCGCACAGCGTCCCTGCAGCTCAGCCTCGACTCCGAGTGCGAGGAGACTGGATCAAAGAGTCCACAGGTGTGTTCTGACTCGGCGGAATAAACCGGCAGCTCCTGGTCACGTGCATTTGGACATTAACGCTTGACTGTTTTAATTCTGCAGTGGACTTTATTTTTTTTTTTATCTGCAAACAACTAGTCTTCTGTCATGAACCGAAAAGCTCAAAGTATGGTTTGGAGATGACTCTTAGCTACTACCACACAAAACTTTAGCTCATTATTTAGAAAAGTGACCGGATTGTAGCAATTTTTGTGATCGCTAACATCAGTTATCCTTGGCAGCCATCTTGAATGTGTTTTACTCCATAAGTTAATGATTTGTAGTTACATTATCGCCCACCTTTCATGGCAGCAGACCATAATGATGTGAATGTCTGACCCTTTTGTCCGTTTTTTACAGCTGAAAGTGAACAATTATGATGATTTTGCAGAAATGATTACGACTATCCCAAATATATTCTATAATTTTATTTTTATAAACACAATTTTCTTTGTTCTATTAGTTTAAAAAAAAACTAATTGAGTGGATTCATAATTATTCTAATAAATCACAGATTAATTTACTGAAACGATGAAAATTTGACTGCGCTTGAAAAGAAAAGTGAGTTAGAGCAAAAGTACACAAAAGTTAATAAAGGAGGAACAAGCTGAAGTATTTAAGGTGTAATCACTGTAGATTTTATTGTACAGTTGTAAATAAGTTGTTCAGTTGCATAAAGGAAAAAACAAATATTTCCACATTTTATTTAACCTTTTGTTAAATACATACAGGACATGTATGAGGACAACAGGACAGTGGCGAGATGTGCTGTAGGAGTGACAGATAGCTTCAATGTGGAGGTGGGAGTGCATCAAGGATCTGCTCTGAGCCCCTTCTTGTTTGCTCTGGTGATGAACCGACTAACAGATGAGGTCAGGCAGGAATCCCCATGGACTATGATGTTTGCAGATGACATTGTGATCTGTGGTGAGAACAGGGAACAGGTGGAAGAGAACTTAGAGAGGTGGAGGTATGCACTTGAAAGAAGAGGAACGAAAGTCTGCCGAATAAGACAGAGCACGTGCGTGAACGAGAGGGAGGCATGTGGAACAGAGAGGCTACAAGGAGCAGAGGTCACAAAGGTGCAGGACTTCAGGGACTTGGGGTCCACTGTCCAAGAAAAAGGGGAGTGTGGGAAAGAGGTGAAGAAGAAAGTCCAGGCAGGATGGAGTGGATGGAGAAAAGTTTCAGGAGTGAGTTGCTACAAAAAGGGTGTCAGCAAAGGTCAAAGGAAAAGTTTACAAGACAGTGGTGAGACCAGTTATGTTGTATGGTCTGGAGACAGAGACATGGACAAAAAGACAGGAGACAGAACTGGAAGTGGCAGAAATGAAGATGTTGAGGTTCTCCTTAGGAGTGACAAGGATGGATAAGATTAGGAATGAGATCATCAGAGGTACAGCACAGGTTGAACAACTGGGAGATAAAGTTAGAGAGACCAGACTGAGATGGTTTGGACATGTCCAGAGGAGGGACCGTAGTTTGGACATGTCCATAGGATGGACAGTGGTTTGGACATGTCCAGAGGAGGGACAGTGGTTTGGACATGTCCAGAGGAGGGACCGTGGTTTGGACAAGTCCAGAGGAGGGACAGTGGTTTGGACATGTCCAGAGGAAGGACCGTGGTTTGGACAAGTCCAGAGGAGGGACAGTGGTTTGGACATGTCCAGAAGAGGGACAGTGGGTATATTGGTAGAATGATGTTAGAAATGCAGCTGCCAGGAAAAAGACAAAGAGGAGATATATGGATGCAGTTAGAGAGGACATGGAGGTGGCGGAGGATGACTCGCTGTGGTGACCCCTGAAGAGGGAAAAGCCGAAAGAAGATTTGACCTTTTGTTAACTTTTTTAGTAAAGTCCCAGGATGTTCATAGTTGCATGCTCAGTAACATACTGTAACTAATAAAAACAAAATGCTTCAGTTCATCCTTGTTGCATCTTTTTGCTTTTATCCCGATAAAACTTTGCCTCTTTCTCTTTTCAGAGAACTATTTAGTGCTTCCATCTGGAAACCTTCAGATTATCTCGGCCTCAGCGCATCACCAAGGCATGTATAAATGTGGTGCAATCAACCCCGTTACCGGAGACGTCGTTGTGCAGTCTCACGGCACCAAGCTGTCAGTCAAACGTGAGTCGGATGGCGTTTTCTTCACGGCTGCAGAAGTTTTCCAGCTTGCAGTCATCATTCACCGTCGTGGTTTCTCCCCTTTTTCAGACTCGGACCCGTCCTCCTCGGTTCGGATACTTTATCCCGTCACTTCAACGGCCGTTTCGGCGCAGCTTTCGCAGCCCCTGACGTTGGAGTGCGTCGTCTCTGGGAGTCCCACGCCAGCAGCCAAGTGGTTCAGGAACGGTAAGGAGGTCAAACTCGGATCTTCTCACCAGCGACTGCACAACAACCTGGTGTTGGTTCGACTGACGAGGAGCGACGAAGGCACGTACTGCTGCACAGTTGAGACCGAGCGGGGGACTGTGACCAGCCCGGGCTACACCGTGACTGTTCTCGGTAAGAAAGGAATACGAGAAAAGACTTTAAGGGGAAATTCTGCAACAGATGGTGAAAATAATGTTTCTCGTCCGCAGAACCTCTTTCCATCACCGAGGGTCTGAGCGACCAACTCGTCTCTTTAGGCTCTTCGGCTCATTTACACTGCACGGCAAGAGGAAGCCCCTCCCCCAACATCACCTGGTTGTTCAACGCTGACCCGATCGCTCCGTCGCGCCGCTTCCAAATCTCTGGCTCATCGCTTGTTGTTACAAACGTAACGCCGCAGGATGAAGGAGTTTATCAGTGTCAGCTGGACAACGGGATCGGCTCGGCTCAGTCACGCGGGGCGCTCAGAACGCAGTCAGGTAAAAGATGTCACCTGTTTGTTTGCTGAATCAGCTTTAAGCTTTGCTTTTAAAAGTCAGAAAGTGGCACAACTCTTTCAAAGATTTCTCATTAGTTCTGTTTAAAACTTAATTAACAGTGAAGCTGGGTTCTGTGTTATACTGCAAACTAAACGAGTCGGGGTTTGGCAACAAAGATGGACATGAGACAGAAAAAAAAATCATCATTTGATTTTATTTACATTGTAGTGAGTCACGTTGGTACGTGCCACTAGTTGTATGACAAATATATGTGGTATATATTTATGCATACTTTTCACGAGTTCCTCATCTTTCTGACTGTGTAATGTCGTGTATTGAATTCAACAGAAATGTAACGAGAGACGTTATTTACCTTTGACCCATCAAAATGAATGGAGTCATTTATTTTCAGAATCAAAGTTTAACATCAAACATTTACATTAATTTGGCAAAATATGAAAATAATAACAGACAAGTTTCACAGAAAATGAGCGTCGATCACTCGGCGGTGAACGAGGACTTTGCTTCAGATATTTCTAAAATATCTGTACTGGTTTTGTGAGAGAGAGAAGAGTTTAAGATGAAATGGAGATTATCTTACAGAGAACTATGTGAGAGAATTAATATCTGTTGACCAGAACGTGCACGCTTCATCAGATCTCAGCTCGCCTCCGGTACACTTTAGTCGAAGAAGAGACCGTTACCTTGTTGATGATAGATCAGCTCGATAGAGAATCCTCCAGACCTTTCAGCGTCTCCGTTGAGAGCTGCTGAAATCCTTAGATAGTCGTGCGTGGGTTGTTCAAACAGAAGTTATAATTCCAAACGTCTCTGACTCTCCTGAATTCTCGAATTCTCTTCCATTCACTTCACCATTCTCCATGAATTCCCCATGAATTCTAACCAATTCTCCTCAGAACTCCTTGAGAACTCCTTGAGAACTACTTGAGAACTCCTTGAGAACTCCTTGAGAACTCCTTGAGAACTAACTTGAACTGGAAAGTTGCCACATTTTAAATGGGTCGACTTCCGGTTCAATTTTAGAGCTTTCTGATTCGTGGATGTACCAGAAAGAGGTGTGGTTTTTGACGTAAGGTATTATCAAAAGTCGAGGTCAGGGAATGAATTTGTTTTCAACATACAGAAAAGATTATTGCAGAATACCAGACTTTTTGGAGCCTCACTCTGTTGTATCTTTCCAAATAGTAAAACATGACATCCCTTTTTCAGTAAACATTTAGTTGACCGAAGCTTCAACTTTCACATACTTACGACTTGGCTCATTTCAGACAGAAAATCAAGAAATGCATATTAAGGTGATTTCTTCTTTGAATGAGGAATAAAAATCATTACTTACTGTTTATGTAAAATAAAAATGAGTAGTTCTTTTCAACCTGTAAGCATTGAGTGAAACTAACACAATTTGATTATCAAACATTTGTAAGACAGTAATGATTATAAAGAATTGTCTTTTCTGCTTGATTAATTCAAGAAAGAAAGTCATCAGATGGCTCAGACTTATTCAGATCAATGAAAATAACAGTCTCTGTCCATCTGGTAGATTTGAGGTCATCAGGGTCAGATAAGGGTCAGACCAGGTTCACTACAACATAAAGGTTTCTTAAAACGTTTAAAAGCTGAGCATGTTTTTTGTACAACAGCCCTGTATTTTTCAACCGAACAAATTTGTCAATGTCAGTGATTAGTGTTTTTGTTGTTGATCAGGTGTAGGATTTTTATTTTATTTGCCAGTTCATCCAACCCCCCAACTAACAAATCTATCAACCAACCAATTAACAGACTGACCAACTAATTTATCAACTAACCAGTAAACCAACCAATCAGCTGACCAACCAATGAATAAACCAATCAACCAACTAATAAATAAAGTAACCTATGAGCCCAGCAACCAATCAATCAACCTGCCAACCAATGATTTAACAAACCTACTATCCAAACAAACAAATAACTAAACTAATTAACCAATCACTTAAGCAATCTTTTACCTGACCAACCAACCAACCAACCAAACTAACAAGTAATCAATTAACAGACAAATCAACGAACAACCAACTAACCAACCAATTCACAAACCAACCAACTAATCTATTTAATCAAATAAACCGACAACTAATTTATCAAATAACCAATACACCAACCAACCAATGAACAAACCAGACAACCAATTATTTAACAAACGTACTAACGAAACAAGCAACTAAACTAATTAACCAATCACCCCAACAATTCTTTACCTGACCAACCAACCAGCAAACCCAAATAACAAGTAATCAATTAACAGACAAATCATTGAACAACCAACTATCCAACCAATTAAAAAATCAATCAACTAATATATCAATTACCCATTAAATCAACTAATGAATCAGTAAAAAAATTAAGTAACCATTGATACCAATAACAACCAGTCAATCAATGATTTAACAAACCTACTAACCAAACAAGCCACTAAACTAATCAACCATTCACCCCAACAATCCTTTACCTGACCAACCAACCAAAATAACAAGTAATCAATTAACAGACAAATCAACGAACAACCAACTAACCAACCAATTCACAAACCAACCAACTAATCTATTTAATCAATTAAACAGACCAACTAATATATCAAATAACCAATACACCAACCAACCAATGAACAAACCAGACAACCAATTATTTAACAAACATACTAACGAAACAAGCAACTAAACTAATTAACCAATCACCCCAACAATTTTTTACCTGACCAACCAACCAGCGAACCCAAATAACAAGTAATCAATTTACAGACAAATCATTGAACAACCAACTATCCAACCAATTAAAAAAACAATCAACTAATATATCAATTAACCATTAAATCAACTAATGAATCAGTAAAAAAATTAAGTAACCATTGATACCAATAACAACCAGTCAATCAATGATTTAACAAACCTACTAACCAAACAAGCAACTAAACTAATCAACCATTCACCCCAACAATCCTTTACCTGACCAACCAACCAAACTAACAAGTAATCAATTAACAGACTAACCAACTAATTACTCAACCAGCAATAATAAACCCACCAGCCAACAAATAAATCAAACAATCTGACCATCCAGCATTTTTTAAAACTTTTTAAACTTTGACATTTTTCTTTGGTAACATTTTTTACTCCAGAAACATTCTTGAAGTTATAAAAAAAGAAAGAAAAAAGTTGAAATAGTGATTTTATTGCCTCATAATCATCAAACCCAAAAAAGTTTTCTTTGAACAGCAATAAATGAAGTGATTTTGTTACTTTTTGTCAAACTTGTAAAACCGTGAATAATGTTTGTCCTGCTCAGGTGAGTTTAGACTTAAAGTTAAGTTTTTAAACTTAAAGTTTAGACTTTTGCAGTGTTTAATTTGTAAACCAAACGATGCTGGAACGTAAATAACAAGGGGCGGGGTGGGAGGGGGAGTGTCTCTAGGGGTCCTCCCTCAAAAATTTTTGAATAAAGTAGATGCCATTTCCTGCATTCTAGTGTCTTTTAATGGGTTGTTAAACATCTACGTTTACCTAGCACTTGATTCAATAACTATTTTAGAGAGCAGCAAGAAGTAGCCTGACCAACAGTTCTCCTTGTGTGAATAGAGCTTCTCACAGTGTTTGTGGCTCAGTGGTTAGAGCAGTCGTCTGCCAATGCAAGAGTTGGAGGTTCGAATCCACCAGCAGTCACATGCCGAAGTGTCCCTGGGCAAGACACTGAACCCCTCATTGCCTCTGATGTGTGTCCCATTGGTGTATGAATGTGATAAAGCACTGAGTAGTCTCCTTAGAATGATGTGTTCAATTAGCTTTGTATAGATCTAGTAGAGTGCTGTATGAATGGGTAAATGAGGACAGATTGTGTTGTAAAGCGCGTTGAGTGTCTTGATAAGATAGAAAGGCGCTATATAAGTATAATCCATTTACCCATCAAACATTTCTCTTGTATTTTTAACAAATAATCAAAATTTTATTACTGGCCCACTTAAACTGTAAAACTGATGTGCAATTTAGATGTGCAGTTTAATTACATTTTTGTGTTTTTAATTAAATTGCCCCATGATTGTACTTTTAGGGGCAGAGATTTTTTTTCAAGGGTAGAAGCGGAAATGCTTACTTGAAGGGGCAGCTCTTATGTGATATTAAGAAGTCGTAAGTGGCTGTTATGTTTAAAATGAGTGTTTATATAATTATTTTCATGTTACATATCCAGTGTATGTTGTATTCGTTCAAGGCAGTCAAATTTGTTTATATCTTTATTACTAGTAAGCCTGAGAGTTACAGGATCCGAGCAGACAGTTACCAGAATGCGTCCTATCAAAATAAGAGAGTTCCCGGATCCTGTTCCGGCAGGATCTAGCTCAAATTAACCCCTGGACTTATGACATCCCAGAAATGAAAACGACCTTGATAAATGTTAAAAGTGGGTTAGAATGGTAGGAGAGTTTTTCTGGGTTTGGGTTTTGAGATGGCCTGAAAACGTTCTTGTATCAACAGATAAACTCCAGACGCGCAGCCTTGTTGTCATTTGTCACAAACCCTCTGGGTTTAAGGATTCTCGGCAGATGGGATCTCTGCAGGTCAGAACTTACAGCATCTGCAGGATGTCCTTGTTTTTGTGACTGTGTGTTTCTGTGCTGGTGGTGGGATTGGGGGGTGGTGGTGTTGGGCCAAGGCCGGCCTCCTCCTGAGCCTTGAACTGAGCCTGAGCGTGAGAGTGAGCTTTGTGCGCACCGTCGGGGATAAGCCCCCGGACGCTGGAATGTAAGGAGTAAATGTGGAAGGTTCTGATGAGGACCAGACCACCCGGCTGTCAACATCGTACACAACTACCTCTTATTTATTAACACATTGCGACCCTCCTCCTCCTGAGCCTCCCATCCTCTCCCACCCCACTATCCCTGGCTGCTCCATAAGGCCCCACTCGTTCCCCTACCTCGTATCTGCAGAGCGATTAATGCCGATACACGGGCAGGAAAAGTCTGACCGGATCAGGCGGTTAGAACCCTTCTCTGCAGAAAAACCGAGTCTGATAATCAGAGGTAAGCACTCCGAGCTCAGTTTGGCTTTTCGTTTAGGTACCAGGTACGCGGGCTTGTCCAGCGCCTTCACAGTCAAACTAAACTGTTATTATAACTCTCGTGGAGCAATCTGAAGAATTTTAACATCGCCGTGGCAACAGACGTCTTTTATCCATCAGTGTTGGTCTTTTTTTTAAATCAACAGATACATTCTTCTCGTGCTTCGAAACGTCAAAATAAAGGTGCCTCATGTTAACCGCAGCTATAAAATGAACATATTTTTAGTTGGGTAATATGAGGAGAACCAACGGGCATTTTATGGGTTGAAACCAAAACTTAGCTGATTTCAGCTCAAAAGCAACGATGCAATTAATAAAACGTCTTAAAATACCAAAGTACAGGAAATAAAACCGAGCATTCACTAAAGGAATGCATCACCCATTGACTCGTATACCAACATGCCAAAACATTTTAAAGAAATATTGTGCACGATCAGTTAGCTCTTAAATCGTGTGATGGGAATGACTCTCAGCTACTACTACACCAGATTTTATTTCAATATCCGTAACTTTGACTGAGTTTCAATAATATTTGTGTTTGTTAAGTCATTTGAACTGCACCGACTCCAAAATTTAATCTGTTGTATGTGTTCATCCAGTGATTACTTTAGGAGCTCCATTCAAATTCACCCACTTGTTCATTAAATATTTTGCTGACAGACACAAGCTCATCATTAAATTTTCTACATTTCACATAAACAGGAGAAAAACAATCATGTCTGCCAATCAATGAAACGACTCATAAAATGCAATTTACAAAAACTTCCAAGACAAACACGACTCAAAGTTTTAAAGAAATAAACATGATGTGTTAGAGGTCACTGCTGAAATTTAACCGGATTTAAAGAACCAGATAGAACCAGAGAATCCGGTAAGTACAAAAATAAAAACAAGAACCAAGGAATTTGCTCCATCAGTTGAACATAAACGTTGATTTGGTTTTTCATTATATTCACAAAATACAAAGAACATCAAGAAGCCTCACGAAATGAAATGGATTCCAGTTTGGATGGGGGCGACTATCAGAACCGATGGTCCAATGTTCCCACGAGTCGTCCAACATCCGGAGCTCGGTTCAGACTGAGACTTCTTGTAACCCTCTGTGATTTATCGCTCGCTCCCGGTTTCTTCTCCGTAACGGACTGGGAAGAACCTGATGGGGCGACCCTGTCCAGGTGTGGTTCTGTTGGACCCAGCAGCTCCAACAGAACCACTAAAGCAGCTGATTCTCTCCGGTATTTTAATGGTTGGCGTGAGGAATGTGCAGCAGCTGGCTTTGGTCCCGAGATCAGGTCTAGTGTTACCAGCTTCAGGTCTTGTTTGTTTTACAAAGTGAATCGTCCACATCCTGTTACACGACGTCTTCCCCCCGAAGCTAATCAGACTACGTTACCTCCGTATTTCCTTTTTTACGTTTAAATATTCAGTGAAGTCTCTCAGCTCTGCCAAAGCAGCCTCAGCTGCCCCCCAGTCTGCACAGTTTGCTCAGGTGGACTTGGTTCTGGTTCCAGCAACGATTTAATTTAAAAAACATTAAAAAAACAAGCTTTGAATATGTTCTGCAGAACTCTTGTTATTTTATGTAGATCTAAAGTCTTTCCATGAGTGCTTCAGTCCTCTGTGCTCCTGCAGGGAGCTCACTGAGAAACATCATGACCTTTTCTTCAGGTGCTCCTCATCTGAAGACGGGCTATAAACAGACATATTCATGAAAAAACAACAGATTTTTCTTACTAACATTCATCTGTCTGCAAATAAATGGTCTCCTGTGAGACTGTTAGTAATCAACTGTTAGTGATGGAGTCTCATTGCTTTTGCTACATATTTGTCTGTGCAACAAAAAAAGCATAAAAGGTTGAAACTGTGCAACATTTTTGGAAAGTCCACCTGTTTAGGCAAAGATAAAAGTCTTTATTTGCTGTTTGGACTCATACACTTGTCTGGGTTCATAGGAATTTGTGTGCAGAGCTTATATATGAAGAATAACTATTAAAAAAGACAAATCTGAACATTAAAGTCATGTTATTTAAATAGAACTGACGCTATGTGAGCTGTGTTGTGAGATGTGATGACTCTCAGCTACTACCACACCAAATATTTGCTTAATATCAATAAAAACGACTCAATTGGCACCATTTTTGTCCCCATCTCAAAAGGGAAATTAGAAATACAGTTCAGCCAACTGTCCGTGCACGTTGTGAGTGTGATAACGTGAAAAATAAGCGAAGGTACCGACTTCCATTTTGGTGCGTGGTGAAAGGTTCTGTACAAGAATTGGGTTACCATGTCAAAATCTAACAT